ACAGATCGAGCCTGTGTCCGGCCTACGGAGACACGTCGCTGCGAGACTCCAAATGTTGTGGGGTCTCCGGGTAGAAGCCGAGATCTTGATGGCCAACGCTGTTTAAGCTTATTTTTTAGCGGCTGCACACTAAGAACTGGGGTGAGGACTGCTTCCAAGGTTATTTATAAGATTCCATACCCATCTAGTAGTAATACTAGTGTCGAGGAAGTGATAAAAGAAAAAGACCGGTCGAGATATAAATAGACCTCGGAAATATGTAGGGGTGACCCGTCATCCGCAATTCAACCGCACTTGCTCCGGAGCCAAGCGCGCATTCGCCAACAACCGCGTCTTCGTCATGAACTGGAGAGCGAGTGCTCTACGTATTCGCTCCAATTCCAGGGTTATTCGCAGATCAGGGATTTCTCACCAACTCCCCATTTCCGCATACCGACTGATCTCCCCCCTGGATCGCAAAGCAGCCTGGTCGCGTCGATGCTCATCACAATGGACATCCAATCCGAGAGTTTTCCCAGTGTTCGATCTCGGGTTACTGGATTCATCCCTCAAAGTTGAGGAAGAGCTTGCAATGGGATACGAGCCCAACAAGATAAACACATATCCCGCCGAGGTCGAAGAAGTCCTGAATGACAGGTACCAAATTCTGCACAAAATCGGCTACGGACCCACGGCAACTGTATGGTATGCTGTCGATTTAATGTGAGTGTCTCGTTTGAGCCGGAACACTACTGCTCTAATTCCGAGTCAACCATAGGGAGCCTAGAAGGGTTGTTTTGAAGATCTATGTGGTGGACGATATGCTCAAAAGCTATGGGCGGATCCACCCACCAAAATTATACCGGCAGAGCAAGTGCCCTCTTCACGAAGTTAGCGATCGTTTCTCCATTAAGGGTCCTCGTGGCCGTCATATTTGTGTTGTTCACGAGGCACCCTCGCTAGACCCAGAACAGATGCATGCCGGGGACAAGCTGGATCTCGAGTCGGTGAAGTCTACAATGAAGCAACTGCTGATCATGGTGGATTTCCTCCACACTGATTGTTATCTGACTGCCCGTATTTCCCCTCGCCATTGTTTTTGAAGGATGAATGACTAATTCCCAGAGTAGGCATAATGCCAAACAAAACACTCAATGTTGATTCCGGCGACAGACGAGTTGCTGGACCCAGCAATGACGAGCTTATCACCCCAATGATACTACCAGGAGACGGCGTTCCCCTGCGTCTAGACTTCCCAGACGATGACATGTCCGGTATCGAGGAAAAACATTGCAGGCCTCCCGAAGAGGTCCTGAAATCGAAATCGGATCACAGGGCAGACATTTGGGCGGCTGCTATCGCTGTGAGTACTTGTTCTGAGGCAAAAGAAAGACGCTTACATAGTTCCAGGCATGGAACTACACAAATTCCCAAGGGCTCATCGACGGACGAAACTCAGAAGGAGCCTTCGATGACCGGGTCCACATCGCAGAGCTGGTCTCTCTACTTGGCCCTCCATCACCAGAGTTCTGCGAGAAGACGCGACTAGGTTCCATGTTCTGGGACGAAGAAGGTAATTGGACGGGCCAGGCTCCCATACCAGAACGAAGCCTCGAGAGCCTGGTGGCTGGCAGTGATGGCGAGCAGGTGGGGGGTTTCTTGCAGTGGATGCGAAAAGCGCTACAATGGGATCCTGAAGATCGGCCAACGGCTCTAGGGCTCTTGCGTCATGAGTGGATGTCCCGGAAGACGAATCCTGCGGAGGAAGAGGGTATGGATGTATCTGACGAGAGCACCCAAGTCTAGTCTTTCCATTTTGTATGCCATCTGTGTGCACTGTATAAGTAGTATATGTACATATAATAGAAGCTCCACTCAGTCAAACTCCGCTCAATCAAAGGCCTATTGGACTACAAGTTGAAAAGAACCCGAAAAAGTATAAAATTCCAGTCAGCACCAAAAATTACCAACTTCCTAAACAATTCAATTGCTCCCAACGCATGCACTTCGACATCTTCCAGTCAATAAACCTCGACAGTATTCTCATGCACAAAAAGACCATTGTGTAGAGCAGGAAGCAACATACTATACGTTTGTATCCAATTGTTGGTAGTTTGCTCCCTGGTCTCGCTCTTCTAGCTTCACGACCAAGGTAGCATGCGCAGACATCTTCTGCAGGTCTGTTTCTTTCGTGTCTCCATTCACTAACTAGACCTGGCAGTGGCAAAGAAATGCTCCTTTCCCATCGCCCTGGTTCCTAGTACCAGGAACGGGACTCTGCTTGTCTTTGATTCATGGAACTTAATCTGGAATTTGCAAATATCATCAGTGAATCATCCGTCATTTCCATCATTCCTGATGTTTTCATCTTCTTTTAAAACCAAGATTCCCTTGTACCTCAGCATCATTGGTCTAGTGGTAGAATTCGTCGTTGCCATCGACGAGGCCCGTGTTCGATTCACGGATGATGCATTTTTCTTTTTATTTTGTATTCAATTCAGCCCCTCTTTCACTGCGAACGGAGAGCTTTTCATACCCTATGGGAAAGTTTTGACGTTCGGATGTGAGAAGGGTGAAAAGTGTGAGTACTTGACGATATAAACTACACGTAATATCGCCATTCTGTCTACTTTTCCTTATTAATACCCATATTATGTTATCCAAGGTAAGATTAAAGGTAGAACTTCCAGGGCATTTCGCAAATCGTCAGGGCATGCAATATTATGACTCGCACGCGTTGACCCCTGATAATATAGGCTCTTGTATCACGGATGCCCACCCGCTGCTAGCGTGTCAATTTCCCTCAGAGACAAAAACATCGATATATACATATGTACAGGCAGTGCACTGACTTGTACATTTTTCCTTTTCACTGCTACTTCGAGTGCAAATTTTCTGGCACGATTCCGCTCGCGCTTGCTTATAGCGAAAATGGCAGTGGCAACCATTAAGCCAACCATTGCGGTTCCCGTGCTAATGATAGCGCTATAAAAAGCCAGAAGAGCTTTGCGGCTCTCGTCATTTGTGCTAGGCATACTGGTTGTGTGGGGATGAGAAAATTTATTAAGGGGTATTATAAGTTGTAAAAGTCGAGCTGTACTTGTTGTCCAAATCTTTCGCTTGAATAGTAGCCACAGTTATTAGATTTTGTATCATGAGCAAGAAACACTTTTTCTCCGGTAGCTTTCAAGGCTATTAACGTCCTTTATCTGATTAGGACTATCGGGTTTGAATCCGGCCTGGTATGATCCTTTCACCGGAGGGTAGCTGCAGCATCAGTACGATAACACAATTTTGTGTCCCAGCTCGTTAGTACATGGGCATCAGAGGATAGCACTCCTGAACACGGTAAGTAATGTGAGCTCCCCTAGTCTATCTTTCCGACTTATTCTTACTCCGGTTCTAGGTCAAAGATCCTGCGGTCTATATCAACGGAAGCCTCGACGCCAGGATAGCTTTCTTAGCCTCCGAACCAGGATATGGCGCACTGGCGGCTATGCACGACGGATACTAGTAACTGGCCGGCTATGTGCGGACGTTTTGGACTTTGAGCCGTTCCTCAGGTGTTCCTATGCTCTCTGACATAGTCTCGGGCCAGCTATCTCTTAAGTATTGCCCTTGCTATATATGACACCTTTTAGTGACGTCTTCAAAGCTTAGGCTATCTTGTTCTTTTTGAAAGTCTTTAATAGATTCTGCTACGGACAGATACAGAGAACACTACGGAGAACTACCTACACTATCTAATTACGCATTAGATTTTCCTGACTATTCAATATGACCTAAGATGTTTTAGGTTATTTATCATATAGTAAGATTCAGAGTCGTTGTTAAAGACAGAAGCGACATAAGTGGCCACACTGTTCGTTCTGATGCTATTCGCACCAACCACCGACACTAACAACCAACACCGCTCCCTCCCACTTCTCTACTCGCTTAAGCTAAAGCTGCTAAAAACAAAAAATACAACGGCATGTTAAGGTGGTGGTTACCTAGCGCCCACGGATCGGGCATGGGCGGCTCGCCGCTCTATTCAGCCCTCTTCAGGGCACTCCTCCAGATATTCACCCACCTGAATATTCTTCACCCGAATATCCAGCCCGTGCAGCAAAAGGTACATTTTCCCATTCTGATCGAAAAAGTTGTGAGTGACCTTCATTTTCCTCCGCTTTCATCTCTCCAGCCTCGCTTTACCACTCTAGCCTCGCTTTGTCACGAGCAAGATGCGTACCAAGCATGACCCAACGTTGAAATATATGGCCAATTTTATGGATTTCGGGGAGTATAGTAACAATGAAATCCAGCGTGTAGTGCTGCCACGAACAGAATCTGGTTACAAGGACAAGTTACTAATTTTCGACAAGTGGGTCTCAGCCCTAGGAGTAGAGAAGCAAATTGCTAAATTGTGCCTATATCCAAATAAATAAAGATAGCGGTGTATCCTTAAATAATTTAACTATCTCGATAACTTAATTATAGTGTCGAGACCACTATAAGTATTGTGGAAACCCTAACGAACGGGCTAGAGTTTATGTAAAGAAATACTAGTTGTCAGGCTAGTCCTGTTGGTCATGCGAGTTGAACAGTGAGGGGGAGAAACGTATGGTACAGATGCGCTCGAAATCAGTTTCACCTTTTTACTCTCTTCTCTTCTTTCTCGAACTCTAATCTGAAACACGCTAGTCCATCTTGGATTTAGTCTGTTTCAGGATCTCGAAATGTTTTGTAACAATAAATTACAACATTGGTGCTCCACATTTAACAGTTGACCTTGGATTCATCACTATGATCAGAGCGTTTCATTACACGGGAGCTAAAAAAAAATATAGCATGGGGCTTCATTTGCTCATCCACTCCTAGTCACGGTAAGCGAAAGAAGCCCTAGATGGATCACCTGATAGCGGGGTATACTAGAGATCCGATCGTGAATTTACCGCCCTACTCAAACCACCTGTCCACAATCATGGCGGCTACCGCTTCCTACAGTGGCGTGAACTCTGGAATTCAAGTCGCACAAAACTATGCTCCGATCACTGCAAACTTCGGTGAGAGAAGTATCACAACTAAAACGGGGCGTGACTAATGCATTGCTGTTCCAAGTTCAACTAGAAACGACTTTGAACCAAGCATGCCTTCGGGATCTGCGTACCACCGATCCTGGCGATGATAAGAAGCGGATCACGAAAACCAACGGAGGACTGCTCAAAGACTCATATTGTTGGATCTTAGACAACGAGGAGTTCAAACAATGGCAACACAATCAGACTAATCGTGTCCTCTGGATTAGAGGTGATCCTGGTAAAGGCAAGACAATGCTGCTATGCGGTATCATTGACGAGTTAACACAATTGCATGGGAGCGCTGCGAATATCTCGTTCTTTTTTTGCCAGGCTACCGACGTACGGATCAACAATGCCACGTCCGTACTCCGGGGCTTGATATATTCACTTGTCGAGAAGAGCCCGTCTCTCCTCCCCTATGTGCGGGCTCGATACGACAAAGCGGGCAAGGCCTTATTTAAGGATATCAATACGTGGAGTGCACTCTTGACCATCTTTACGGGCATTTTGAAAGACCCGTCTCTAAACAATGCCTATCTCATTATTGATGCATTAGATGAGTGCATATACGGTCTTCGTTCCCTTCTAGACTTGGTTTTGCAGGAGTCATCAGCTCACCCACAGATAAAGTGGATCGTCTCTAGCCGCAATTGGCCTAAAATCATTAAGCGTCTTGATATTGCAACCCAAGTGGCTCCAATTTCATTAGAGCTAAACGATGCATCTATATCCGAAGCCGTGAATAAGTATATTCGATACAAAGTCGATGCTCTGGCAAAGGTCAAAAAATATAAAGACAACACCCGTGAGACGATATATCGCTACCTCTTATCAAATTCGTAAGGCACTTTTCTTTAGGTGGCCTTAGTCTGTTAAAACCTTGATCGAACACTACCGAGGCACGCTATTAAGAAGCTAGAAGAATTCCCTCCTAGACTGGATGATCTGTACAGCCGAATGATCAATCAGGTTCGCCAGTCGGAAGATGCTAAAGTCTGCAAGCAGATACTATCTATTATATCAATAGTCTATCGACCTATCACGCTTAGCGAGCTAACTTCATTTATTGAAGTGGCGGATAACGACTTTAATGACCATAAAGCTCTCTCGGAGATTATCGCAGTTTACGGCTCATTCTTGACGCTACAAGAAGATCTTATTACATTCGTTCATTAGTCCGCAAAAGATTTCCTACTCCGGGAAGCCTTAAATAAGATACTTCCTAGAGGTATAGGAGCTGAGCACCATATGATTTTCTCACGATCTCTCGAAGTGCTGTTCAAAACACTTCGACGTGATATCTTTGATATTAAATTCCCCGGATTTCCGGCTAAGGATATCAGAAGTCCCAGCCCAAATCCACTAGCAGTAGCAGAATACGCTTATATCTATTAGGTGGACCACCTCAAAGGTAGTGAGCGAAATGAAACTTATAAGCTAAGCCTTAATAAGAAGGGTAAAGTGGATAGGTTTCTACAGCAGAAATACCTTCACTAGCTCGAGGCGCTTAGCATTCTAGGAAGCGTTTCAAATGGTATCCAAGCGGTTCAAAGGCTTATAATATTAATTCAGGTATATGGTTATCGATATAGAGAGATAATATTCTCTTCTAATACAGAACGCACTTTAATAGGAGAAAGCGGAATCACAATCTCTATTAGGGTGGGCTCAAGATGCCTCTAGGTTCATTCGGTTTTTCGGAACAGCAATTAAAAGCAGCCCTCTACAAGTGTATCACTCACCTCTCATATTCAGCCCAACAGAAAGCCTCATAAGGCAACATTTTACAAAGGAGAGACCAGATTGGGTTTTGAATAATCCGATGGTAGAGGAAGGTTGGAGTCTATGTCTTCAAACTCTCGAGGGGCATGGTAATTGGGTCAACTCAATTGCCTGGTCACCAGATGGAAGCCGACTTGCATCAGCGTCCTATGATACAACAGTCAGAATCTGGGATGCAGCCACCGGCCAAAGCATGTCAACTCTCGAGGGGCATAGTGATGGGGTCAATTCAATTGCCTAGTCACTAGATGGAAGCCGACTCGCATCAGCATCTTATGATACAACAGTCAGAATCTGGGATGCAGCCACCGGCCAAAGCATGTCAACTCTCGAGGGGCATAGTGATGGGGTCAATTCAATTGCCTGGTCACCAGATGGAAGCCGACTAGCATCAGCATCCTATGATAACACAGTTAGGATCTGGGATCCAGCCACCGGCCAAAGCGTGTCAACTCTCGAGGGGCATAGTGATGAGGTCACCTCAGTTTCATGGTCGAAAGATGGAACCCGACTTGCATCAGCGTCCTATAAGACAGTGAGAATCTGGGATGTGGCCACCGGCCAGAGCACGGTAACTCTCGAGGGGCATAGTGATGAGGTCACCTCAGTTTCATGGTCGAAAGATGGAAACCGACTTGCATCAGCGTCCTATGATGAGACAGTGAGAATCTGGGATCCAGTCACCGGCCAGAGCGTGTCCACTCTTGAGGGACATAGTCAATGGGTCACCTCAGTTTCGTGGTCGCAAGATGGAAGCCGACTCGCATCAGCGTCCTATGATGAGACAGTCAGGATCTGGGATCCAGTCACCGGCCAGAGCGTGTCCACTCTCGAGGGGCATAGTAATTGGGTCAACTCGATTTCCTGGGCGCAAGATGGAAGCCGACTCGCATCAGCGTCACATGATAGGACAGTCAGGATCTGGGATACGGCCACCCGCCAGAGCGTGTCAACTCTCGAGGGGCATAGTGATTGGGTCAATTCAATTGCCTGGTCGCAAGATGGAAGCCGACTCGCATCAGCGTCCCAGGATAACACAGTCAGAATCTGGGATCCAGCCACCGGCCGAAGCGTGTCAACTCTTGTGGGCCATAGTGGTGGGGTCAACTCGATTACCTGGTCGCAAGATGGAAGCCGACTGGCATCAGCGTCCGATGATACAATAGTTAGGATCTGGTATGTGGCCACCGGCCAGAGCATGTTAACTCTCGAGGGGCATAGTGATAAGGTCAACTCGATTGCCTGGTCACTAGATGGAAGCCGACTCGCATCAGCATCGGAAGATAAGACCGTCAGGATCTGGGATCTGGCCATGGGCCAGTGCGCGTGTACTCTCGAAGGGCATAGTATGGCCGTCACGTCGATTGCCTGGTCACCAGATAGAAGCCGACTCGCATCAGCGTCCTATGATAGCACCATCAGGATCTGGGATGCGGCCACCCGCCAGAGCGTGTCAACTCTTGAGGGACATAGTGATAGGATCAACTCAATTGCCTGGTCACCAGATGGAAGCCGACTAGCATCAGCGTCCTATGATGAGACAGTCAGGATCTGGGATGCGGCCACCGGTCAGCGCGTGTCCACTCTCCATATCACTTCCACTCGCTTCCTTCAATTCGATAAATTCAATTTCAACCATTTGCACACGAGTGTGGGTACGTTTGATATAGGTTCAATTGCTTCTGTCACACCTATGCCTTATGACTCAATCCCATCGCCCGAGCAATATGGATATGGCTTGAGTCATGACTACTCCTGGATAACTTACAATGGAGTCAAGCTCCTGTGGCTGCCTGCCGAGTATAGACCGAAATACTCTTCTCGATTCGCAATGCCAGCAACGAATTTGGCGATCGGCTGTACATCAGGTCACGTCATATTTCTCGCGCTCACAGAAAGGAGCCCCATCATTGGCCTTTGATCGGCGTTTATATTGTCAAAATTCTACACCCCTTTTAGGCTTCGCTATAAATAGGCCGTACGATTCTGCTTGAATCCCCTTTAACAGATGTATATATCGAAACCTTAGGTCTATAAAACCACCATCACCAAAAGGATGCATTTAAGCTTTAGAGCTTTGGAGCTCATACGTAGACCAGTAATATATTAATACGCGTAGAGCAGCCAGTAGACAACCACCTAGGATAAAGTAGGAGGACGCTGAACTACAACTCACTTCTTTATGGTCGCTCTCTGTTTCCCCTAGGTGGCAGAAACTTAGGGCCCGCACTTATCAAAAGGGTCTTCTAGAAACAACCAAGCTCCCAGAAACTACAAAGTCTTCGCTCGTCCACGGCTTTGGTGGAGTGGTCGTGGTTGACCGAAGGGGAGATGAGAGGTGGCCAGGCGACCGACCGAATCTCCTGCCAACCATTCTGTTTGGCTTGTTTGCAGGTCAGTAGTTCTAGACGGGGCATAGCTCATACACTCGTAATACGATAGCTATTTTTGGGCCATGATTAATTACCGTACTGTGATACTGTCAAGGTTGTGGGTCAGGGGTAGACTAACTATAAAAAGGATGGCGTCATGCGAAATAGAGTTCAAGAAAGAATTGAAGAGAGTAAAGAGGTGAAACTGATTTCGAGCGCGTCTGTATTCTTTCTGCAGAGACTAATTCTTGCTAAGTCCAAGTTTCCCCGGCAGGCACTCTTGTATCTCTTCGTCCCTGAGTCGTGTCCGTCACGATGATGTGTTCAGCTAGCTTCCGAGTCCTCTTTCGGACACTGGTAGTTATCAGGATGATCACATGGTCGATCCTGGGCAACCATTAAAGAAATTCGAGACAAAGAAGTTAAATGTATATCAAGATCCTGGTTCCGCCTCCAAGGCGCTTTTCCTTTACAGCTATATCCGTTTTGCCTAGGTGCTAAGAGAGAGAGAAACCGTCAGAGAGAATGTTTCAATTCGTCCTCTCACCACTAAAGTGGCACTCTACTTATTGAAGATCATTTGAAAGATCTTAAACTTGATTTCGACTGCAAGTATCCAGCCTGCTCCACAACCTTTAGAAGCCTAGAGGAGCTTACCTACCATCTCGTTGACACGTATTGTTGGCGCCCTAGGCGGCAATCCCCTAAGAAACGAAAGTGGGCAGACATTAGATTTTGAGGCACATAAATTTCACATCCTGGGTCTTCACCATTAACACGCCCAATTCGTGCTAGGTGATAATCATCTAGTAGCCGTAAAGTCTCGATCTTCCTCTTTCATTCAAGCTCTCCGCTACCCGCTATAGTACCTCTCGAAACCGGTGTCACTACCTACACTCTTCGATTGTTTTCCGCACCCTAATGCCAAGATCGGCTAGCCTCCTTCTATATAGCTTCGGCATATGCATTCCTGTATAGTACCATAGTAGCATACTGTATGAATATATTACTCCTCACCCATATAGTCTACTCTATCTTAGTAAGACTTTAGAGCTGCCTAGGGTGCTTCGAGCTTCCACTGGTTTTAAATCACCCTACCTCGCGGCATCTTCATGAGTCATTTATCTCTCTTGGTTTATGGAGCATGTTAAAAGGAGTGGTTTGGAGATCAGGGAAGTCTAGGTCTCTCATTGGCGTACTGTAACGGGGCGTACGCTCTGATTGAAAAGCTCGACGAGAAATCCAATTCGCATGTTGGCTGGCTAATGAAGTATGGTACGAACCTTTAAAAGCACGTCAAGGTACGAGTGAGGATACTTGTCCCTATAGAATCGTAACCAGGGCTGTAGTGTTTAAACACCGAAGCCCCAACCAATTCATTCAGAGTTCAGGAGAATAAGTACCCTTTGGAGTATAAGCCGATCCCGTGCCTGTTCCATATCAGTTGCACCACAAAGCCATCCCACACGGTCCTTGGTATATAGCTCAACCCAAGGCTTCAGTTTAGTCTCATGTAGGGTAAAGTCGTCCACTATTCTAGTACGTAGGATACTGTGTCGTGGGAACAGTGCACTGATGCGGTATATGAGCGAGCCACACGTAGAACAGAAACAATTTGTCATTCCCTTGCCCGAGGTAATGGTTTTTGACCGGGTAAATGATGTGAGGGTTTCTTGGCCTCGTAGGTGTTTTAGATGTGTGTCTGCGACAACGCAATTAGTCGCGAACATGGATACGGTAATTTTTCGGCAGTCCGTGCAATGGCAGGTGAATGTGTCGATTAGGCCTGGGCCTTGTGTTGACTGAAGATTGTTCGTGACATTAGCGGGATGTAGTAAAGACGGTTGGTTGTATGCTTGGAGGCACTCACGAAGGCCAACTGCACTGCGCTACAGTAACATGTGGCAGTTGCCTGATCATCTTTTGACTAACCATCGTCGGCGCCCCCAGTAACGGGTATGTAAGGCTTGGAATTATTAGCAGCAGCAGCCATGATTGTGTTTGTCCGTTTCTCGAGTGAGAGAGTCCTTTCTGTAAATATACACCTTGGTAATTGATATAATGGAAGATTATAAACCGGACCCGTCTAATATTCAAAATTTAAGGTTTTAAACGAATTTCTTATTACACCATTTTGAAGTTCAATACTCTTGACAACTGAGTGGTTTTTTTCTATACTAGAAGGACATTCGCTGACTACCAGCACATCGTATTGGTTATGGCGACATGTCATTCATTCCTATGGTCTTTGTCTTTGGTTTGCGTTAGGGGGATGTATATAGTTCTAATACTCATTGGGGGCCACCAGAAAGGAAGTAACTCCACAAATAGGACGAGCATCTATGGTCCGCAAAAAATGATAATTGTGCGGCTAGGGGCAAGCTACAACACTTTCGCGGTGAAAGTTAAGGGTCTTTTCTGATATAAGATCGTCATCTAGGATAGATGACGCGTTCTAATTAGAATGTCTAAATGAAGTTTAGTTATCGAGTTATTTATTGTTCTGATATAATGAATGTTTTACTATAACGAGGTACTTTTCAAAGTCTGTGGACGTCTTTCATTTCAATTGATGTAAAGCTAAATGCCAAATTCTAGTTTATACACTCATGTCTAACCAGTCAGGTAAGATCTGCTATATAGGTGGTTGCTCTACCCTAAGCGTCCATGTCACGCAATCCCGATAGAAGGTGCCACCCGCCTTCCAACGGTCATGCCCATTCGCAGCGGTGTCACCTAACCTCTCTGTTAGTACCATATATTACTTGTATGTCTTAGAAGGAGGGAGACCTACATGAGTTGATAATGGTCCTCATGCGTTCCAGGCATAGGGCGACTCCCTTGGGGTGTTGTTCCTTGCCACTGAAATCGGGAGGTGGAGGGCAGTTTTCCCCTTTCGAATAGGTGATGCTGTGGAAATAATTGGGATTGACATTGTTATAAGTCCACCCAGCGGAGTTTGAATGAATGGCATAATTTTCCCAATCCGGCCAGCAACTATCACCAGCCGCAAGGTCCATCTGATCAAGAGTCACATAGTGATCCGGATCTCCCTGTTGGTAGCCCTTGTTTTCTGTTTCACACGTCAAAATTCCCTGGTCAACATTGCGCGTTTGAACTGGCCGTTCCGCAGCTGTGGTTGTCGTCGGCTTCACTGTTGTGATCTTACGATCATCGCTTGTCGTGAGGAGACCAGTGCCTGCACCGCCATCCTGACCTTGATCCTCATTAGGATCATTGATATACCAAGCGGCAGCTTCGGTCGTGGTGGCTGTTGCAGTAGCACTACATCCAGTATGGACATGACTGCTAGTAGTCGTGCAGGAAGTGGAGGTCGAGTCGATAGTCTTGCAAGAGACCCAGAGGTCGGTGACAGTTGTAATATCGTCGTCACAGTCATCTTCATCGGGATCCTCGTTATCTGGATCAGTTGGTCCTGGGTTGGGATTCGGGAGAGGATGCGGATCATTGCTCGCCGCGAACCCACCACCACCACAGCCTATGACGCAGGGACCATCACAGAAGATCGGGAAATGGCAGCCTCCGTCACACTTTGATTTATCGACACAGTCAGGGCCATTTTGCTTATCTGCAGCGGATGTATAGGCGACCGGTGGGACTTTTCCGTCACTCGCTGAAGCTTAGCTCCATGGGAAAGGAGGGATAGTCACAGATCGGGTAACTGGAGAGTGAGATACTTCAGTCTGTGATAGAGGATTGGGATCATCCTCGATCTTAACTGTCTGGGGAGGGATTCGAACCATCGGATGGATAGTCGTAGTAGGGACATCCGATCCTATGGTAACTGCCCATAGCGGCAGGACAGTTACGGTGACTAGAACATGGATATTCGTCAGTTTCTAACTTCTTGAATCAATGTAAAACACAGAAAATGCTCAGACTTACTTGGTGGAACCGGAATGATCGTGTTTTGCAAAATGTGCGTGATACTTGTCGTAGTTACCACCTCTCCATCAGGTAATGTTTTCACCGCTGGAGTTTCCCATGCCACATTGAGTACGGTTGAGTATCCCCCATCAAAATCGATGACTGTAGGGCCAGGCAGCGTGTAAGGAGGCAAGACCAGTACACAAGCCGATCCGCAACTCACAGCGGGATGCTCCTCTTTCCAGATTTCCGAATCAATGATGACTTGCACAAGGTCCGAGCCATCGGCATCGTCGTCATTGTCTAAGCCGAGCTTGCATGCACCAGTAGGACAATAATCGCGACTGCAGGCAAAGTCGCAAAGGGGTTTCAGAAGTTGATACAGTTCTAGGTCATCTGTATCAGGGACAGCTTTCACGTCTTTCGGGGCCGGAGGAGCAACCAAGGGGCCTGTTGATAGGCAAGTACATGAGGAGACTAGGCAAAAGCCAAATGCACAGGCAAAGCTGCACAGCCCAGCCAGACTGCCTTCACCGTCACCCCTGACACACGCTGGAGGAGTAAAGGGAGAGCTAGCTGGTATGTATGGAGGCCTCTCCACAGAAGAGCAAGCTGACTTTGGACAGTAGCCATAATTGCATGAAAAGTCACACAGACCGGCATAGTTGGCATCTCCATTAGCTGGGTATCCTTTGTCCCCAGTGGCCTTTGGTAGCGTTTTCTTCTTTCCCATTGCGGTACAGTAGCAGGCTCCAATAGGGCAATATCCGTACTTGCAAGTAAAGCCGCAAATTCCGGCGAAGTTTCTAGCACCAGATCCTGCAATACAGGTCTGCTCGGACAGTGACAACTTTGGAGAGACTGCAGTAATTGCACTCACCTTTGCGCCTCCAACCCAGGCATTGAAGTTCACCAGACCACTGGGGCAGGTGGTGGAAACAGCTGGACCTTTGACATTCACGATATCCTTTTGCCGTGAGACAGTCACGATGACTTCTCCAAGTAGATGACTGTCAAAGGGGAAACTTCCGTGGTAGAGGCCAATACCACCATCCGGCTCAGATTCCCAACTAGCGGGAAATTCGAGGCCCCCAATGCTAACTGTGACTGTGGCATTGGAGGCCAACAATGCTGTGAAGAAAACTTTATCTTCAAAAACAGTATCCGCATGGTATTCAATCTGCAGCTGGAGGGCTGTATTTCCAGTGGTGCCTCCAGTGGAGCAACTGTACCGCACCAGCCTGCGGTACCAAATGACGAGACTTTCTTCAGTGATCGATGGTTTGCCGGATTTGTAAAGGTCAATGGCATATGGTAGCTGAAGTCTCCAAGCATCATGTGGCATATCAAGCACGTAATTATACGGTGCCTTGCCTATGCCGAAAGCAACATATGCCTTATCATTCAATGGGCCGATATAGTGCGATTCGCCATAATCATTCCAAGAGATAATCTCAACCCATTCAGGCTCGATATAAGACACTTCAACCCACCGATCGTACCACAGGTCATCTGAGTGCCAGGCCCAATTCTTATTGTATCCTGGCATGTTGGTATAGAACCATGGGGATACAGGCATCATATAAGGCTTTCCGGCCTCCCCGAGGTATTGAATGTAGGATGCATCCACGTAAGTGTTCATTTTTCAATTCCCCATGGCCAGGCTGCCCAGGAGAACAGTCCATCGGCAACTCCTCCGGCAAGCTGGAGTGCTGGTTTAGCACCAAGGGAGGACCAATCAGGTACGAAAAAGCAGCCGATTTCTGACTTGATCGTGATCCAGTCTTCAGCATTTCCGGGCCCTTCAAAGGTCGAGACGAACGGTTTATTGTTGTGGCGAAAATGCGCGGAGCTAGAAGAGTAACGCCGGAGAAGACTCGTGACCTCCGAGAGTGGCCAGGGTCCATTGCCCGCATAGTCAAACGAGAAGAACAATTTGAACCCAAGGCTCTCAGCTGCATTGAAAGCATCTGCAATTGATTGGTCGTTGGTGGCCTCTCCATGAGCAATGTTGAGAGCGAAGGCATCAATGTGCGAAAACAGCTTTTGCAGATGTCTGAGAAGCTAGGCCAAAGACTGCCAACAGTATCACGAACAATCTCGTGAAGAGTCCTTGAACCGACCTCATGGTGGTAAACAGCCACGTAGGCAGTGAGAACTTAAGAGGACGTGCTGGGGGATGATGGGAGAAACGTGTGAAAAGCCTCCCATTATATATACATCCATAGCATTATCCACTTGGGATGTTATATTTTCGGGACTGGTTGGTAAACTCGGCATTCCGCGTAGAGACCTCATACAATCACTATTCTTACAAGTCGATACAGAGTTTACTACACCACTAGCTCTATTACTAGTTGCTGGGCTTCGGAGGTCGTGGGAGATGATTACCGTAGTGGCAATACATGAATCCTTTTGCCGATATCTCCTTCGACTTCTCCCGGTATGCGAACCAGCACCGGGCAATTTGAGGGATTTTCGAAGAGCCTAGTATCTAAAGTGGATATTGTAATGCCATCGCGCAATACTGAAATTGCGTTGGTTTGAGAGCAGTAAAACTTCTGTAAATGAAGAATATCATGGCGCACTGATACGGTGATATTAGTCGGCTTTAGATATTTAGGAAAACTTAGTCAAGATCCCAAGCTTGGAGTGTATAACACCATTAGTCGAGATTGCGCTACATGTGGCGACTATGTCAAACCCAAGCTGAAGTTAAGCAGTGAAATAAAAAAAAGAATACCGCTCAAGCGCCATTCGCCTTCTAGTACAATTTTACTAGCTCGTCTCCATTAATCGGAGGAAAGTTTCCTAGACCCTGGATCTCCGTGTTATGTTACATCCCTAATTAGATGAGGCTCACTAGGCGCAAAGCCTAGCTTAAACGGAAACTAGCCCTATCCTGGCAGGAGTCTAGTCGATCGCTTACAGAAAAGAGGCTTGAAGTAGATCCAGTTGTCTTTCTCCGCCAAGCCACCGGGACTATCACTAGCACGGCCTCGACTCAAGGCAAATTACAGCTTTGGCCCACATGTTAGGCACCCGGGCCCTCCGCCGGATACTTCCGCAACCGCCCAACGTCGCATCACAAGTTTCACTATACCCATTTTGGGGATAAACGATGATTAGGTCGGGCCGCGGAAATTAGAGTGGATGCGATGCTGGAGCTGTTGGCCTTCTCTCGAGAATACCGGAAGGGGGAGCTCCGACGGTGTTCCTGAATGCTATTGACTAGATTGGGAAATACAAGCTCAATACCATCTTTATTGGGGCATCTTTCCTATCCTAGAGGCCTGACCTTACGGAGCGAGTCTCACACTCGCCATCACCTAGCTTCACGCTTGCTTCTGACGCTAACCTTACAAGGTAGGCCGGAGCGTCTAGGTTCGTCGGAGAAATAGAATGTATTGTTATAAATTGGTCAACGGCGAGAAAATCGTGTTTCCATTTCCTTTTCAAAGGGGATATCTCACCAGGCTTTGTGGTTCAATATGACGAGAGTGATTCTACACCATGTGCTTTTGGTATTTGCTGCCTTTCTCTTGATCTTTGTCCAAGTCTCGGCTCGTTCCGTTCCCTCTGCACTCGGACAGAACTTGGCCGATTCTCTGAACTGGGTTCACCCTTCCAAATCTTCGAACTTTTCCCTTCAAAAGCGCAAAGACGAAGAGCCACTCCTGACATGGGACGACGCTCTTCGGAAGGGAGAGGGTCACATGTGCAACCTCGCACTTACATCCATCCCTGGCAAAACTCTCTGGACACAATCCGACCTGAATATGTACTGGAGGGATGGACCCTACCGTGTTGGAGACACTGGCTTGGCACTGTCGACAGAAAATCTAGGTGACGCCCTAACGAAGCTGGGGTTACCAACAAAGTTTCCGCCAAATCAGGGATTCAACATGATACAGGAGTTTGATTGGTGGCAAAACGATATAGAGCTTCAGGTATCTTTTGTCCCTCATCGCAACGAATTGATACTGATTCCTTTCTGCTTAGAGGACATTTGGCAATTATATCGGCGTCATGAACCCCGTCAATGGTTTTATAATTGCTGAGGAGAGTGTCAGTCCATGGGAGCAAACTAAAGAGCGAGACGAATGGCCACAGCGACAGCCACCATTGACCAAATGGTCCGATGTGACATACCTTGCCTGGGAGCGGAGAGCTCGGAACAACAAGGAGCTGAGAAATTTGAAATATTTCTTCTGATTCCACATTATCAATGAACACACGACCAACATTATCGATCAAGCTCTTGTGCGGACTGGCCAAAGTCTGTCATCCTACCCAGGTGCAGAGTTCTCCATGACTTCAAAAGAAGGAAAAGCCGTTTTGGGGACACCTAACGGAGGAGGAGTAGCTTGGTTTCTCATTGATCATAAGGATCAGCTTGGAGTAAAGGCAGTGGACAAGGTCAATGTCTTCAAAACTAGGGGATCGAATAATGAGGTGTATTATAATGCTATGTTTACAATTAGCCCATACTCTAAAAAAGAAAAAGGGCAAGGGCAAGGGCAAGAGAGATAGTCTGGGTTTGGATGAAAGGCTCCGGGGGGATCATGTTTGATTCGCACTCAATGCAGACCTACGGAACTCATCTGGGCGAATCCGATGGTGCTGAGGGGCTCTTATGCATAAGATATGAATTTGCCAAGGTTCGAGGATAACAAGTCCAATGCCGAGGTTAACAGAGATGTTAAGTAAGATGTTTGTTGATCCTGTAGGAGAATAGCCCTGAAAAACGGGAGTGGAAAATTCAACTGAAGTAGAGTAGGCGAGACGATTCAAATATGACTAAGTGGGGTCCCAATTGAGAAAATCTCCCTTTCTATATAAGCCCCGTCTCTCCTTTTCTCTATTTCCACAGACTTTTACTATCATCTCATCATGGATCCATTTGCAACTTTACCTCCGGAGGTGATTGCGTCGATCCTCGAATCTTGCTCCGATTTCGCTTCCTTGGATGGATTACTGAAAACATCTGCCCGAGCGGACCAGGTGTTCTGCCAATATTACCAGACGATTACTGAACAAATCATGAAAAATTGTCCTATTACCTCCCAGGGACTACAGTACGAATTCCGCAATTTCATACTCCTCAAAACCGGAAAATTTGTTCCCGCAAGCCTACCGAAGCTTCTCGATGGCGCTCGGATGACAACCGTTGTATCAATTTCTCTACCCCCCGTCCACTCTTTTAATGCTGTACGAGAAGCCGTGAGCACTACGGCGAGCATCTATTTTGCTGCCTCTGCTTGCTTAAGCCTTCTTTTAGATCGCCTAGCAGTAGCAGAACCACGGCGCGTGGTCGGCCCTGTCAGCGCTGTTGTTGAATGGATTCTAGGAAGATGGCCCGAGCCCCCAAACGAAATATTCCGAGTTGAGCATCGTCCTCTATCATGGTGTGAAATCTATAGAATACATCGAGTGCTATAGACTCTTACGACATTTCATTATGTTCACCGCGCGGTAAACACTCGGTGGTCCTGGTCCTTAGAAGAGCTGAATTCATTTACGGAACAATACGTTGACAAGTGCTAGGAGATATGGAATCTCGAAGAATTGTAAACCGCCTCGGAGTGCCTTAAAGTTGTTTATCCTAAAGAGACAGCTATCCTCGACCACAATTTCCCCTTCCTAGTGTCTATTCCTTCCGCGAACAGATCGACTAGCCAGGCGCCTTTATCTATACCTAAGCCTCCATCCGACACAAGTCTTAATTCAGGGGGGTTGTCTGTTTGGCACGCGCGTAAGAGAAATATAGCTATACGTTCTCACCGCTTCCTTTGCCAAACCCATCGGTCTACTAAAAATCCTCTTCTGCATGTGGATTTCCGAGCCTTTAGACGGATTGGAATCCCAATTTGGGATGATTTGAGATTACATCGGATCGGGCTGGAACCTGCTCCTAGGGGTTTGCCTTCTCTTAAGGGAGCTGGGCCTCAGGGACTAAACGAAGCAGCGGCGATCTGCAGATACTACACATGGTGGAGCTTAGCAAAGGAGGGGGATATTGACCCCTCTACCAGATTACCGCAAAATAGCCCATTTGTCAAGCCGTGAGAGCTCACTGGTGTAAAAGATGGTGAGCCCGACATCACTGGGCTCTCACTCGCTTATGGGTTATGAGGTGCGGAGAATTCTTTGAACCTCTTCATTAAATATTTCATGTCAAGATAGACCAGCTGGCAAGTGGTCCAGCTTTTACCTTTACTTAGCTCCTGCTTGATTCTACTTTGTGTCGTAAATCCGTCTTATGTTCTGATTTAACTTTCACCTTTTTCTTCTGCCCTACCTATCTCTTTAGCTACCCTCATAGCTATAGCTAAACCAATATCTCACTATCGCTCAAAAAGCGGCAAGGGGCGAGCACTAAAACGGAAAGGGAAAGCCATGCCTTGCGGCCTAAAATCTGGTGCATCGTTATTCAGGTGAATGGGCTGTAGGGACTGAAGACTAGGGCGGCAAGGGGACTTTCCAGGAAGAATTCAAAAACTAGAAACAAAAAGAAAA